TTACAGGTTGGTGGTGCTCAGGTCATGCTGATGACATGTTTTAGGTTGGTGGTGCTTAGGTCATGCTGATGACATGTTTTTGGTTGGTGGTGGCCAATCAGATGAGTTACAGGTTGGTGGTGTTAAGGTCATGCTGATGACATGTTTTTGATTGGTGGTGGCCAATCAGATGAGTTACATGTTGGTGGTGTTAAGGTCATGCTGATGACATGTTTTTGGTTGGTGGTGGCCAATCAGATGAGTTACAGGTTGGTGATGCTAAGGTCATGCTGATGACATCAATCAGATGAGTTACAGGTTGGTGGTGTTAAGGTCATGCTGATGATATGTTTTTGGTTGGTGGTGCTCAGGTCATGCTGATGACATGTTTTTGGTTGGTGGTGGCCAATCAGATGATACAGGTTGGTGGTGTTAAGGTCATGCTGATGATGTTTTTGGTTGGTGGTGCTCAGGTCATGCTGATGACATGTTTTTGGTTGGTGGTGGCCAATCAGATGAGCTACAGGTTGGTGTGTTAAGGTCATGCTGATGGCATGTTTTTGGTTGGTGGTGCTCAGGTCATGCTGATGACATGTTTTTGGTTGGTGGTGTTAAGGTCATGCTGATGACACGTTTTTGGTTGGTGGTGTTAAGGTCATGCTGATGACATGTTTTTGGTTGGTGGTGTTAAGGTCATGCTGATGATATGTTTTTGGTTGGTGGTGTTAAGGTCATGCTGATGACATGTTTTTGGTTGGTGGTGGCCAATCAGATGAGTTACAGGTTGGTGGTGTTAAGGTCATGCTGATGACATGTTTTTGATTGGTGGTGGCCAATCAGATGAGTTACATGTTGGTGGTGTTAAGGTCATGCTGATGACATGTTTTTGGTTGGTGGTGGCCAATCAGATGAGTTACAGGTTGGTGATGCTAAGGTCATGCTGATGATATGTTTTTGGTTGGTGGTGCTCAGGTCATGCTGATGACATGTTTTTGGTTGGTGGTGGCCAATCAGATGAGTTACAGGTTGGTGGTGTTAAGGTCATGCTGATGACATGTTTTTGGTTGGTGGTGGCCAATCAGATGAGTTACAGGTTGGTGATGCTAAGGTCATGCTGATGACATGTTTTTGATTGGTGGTGGCCAATCAGATGAGTTACATGTTGGTGGTGTTAAGGTCATGCTGATGACATGTTTTTGGTTGGTGGTGGCCAATCAGATGAGTTACAGGTTGGTGATGCTCAGGTCATGCTGATGACATGTTTTTGGTTGGTGGTGGCCAATCAGATGAGTTACAGGTTGGTGGATGCTAAGGTCATGCTGATGATATGTTTTTGGTTGGTGGTGTTAAGGTCATGCTGATAACATGTTTTTGGTTGGTGGTGGCCAATCAGATGAGTTACA